CTGTGTAGTCCTGGCTGTCCTGGAACTCACTCTGTAGACCAGGCTGGCCTTGAACTCAGAAATCCACCTGCCTCTGCCTCCCAAGTGCTGGGATTAAAGGCTGTGCCACCACTGCCCGGCAGCCAGTCATTCTCTAAGGAGAAATGGCTTTTTGTCTCTGCTGACTTCTCTAGAGTTGGGTTTGACTTGCTTAAGCCTATTCTGCTTAAGCAAGCACCACATCACCGCCAGGCATGAAGCTTTGATTTTTATCAATTTCCACAGGGACCTCCTTCCTCAGGTGAATAGAGGCCCTCAAAGAGTGGTTCACAGAACCTGAGGGGGCCCTGAAACTCTTTCAGTGGTCGTGCTAGGTCACAGCTGTTTGTATGCCAGAAATAAAAGAGTATTTATTTGCCTTTTCCACTGGGCTGGTGCTGTAAGAAAGGCATTGATGAGGAAAGCCACTGGCACCCAGGCCCAACTTAAGACAATGGCAGCTTCCATTCTTCCACAGGATGTTTTAACTGGTCACACAGTGAAAGAATGTCTATTTCATTGCATAGCACAAATATATTTTACATTTTTACAAAAATTTTCTATGTGACAAAGTTAGAGGTAGGGTCTGAGGGTCTAGCTCTCTACATCACTTGCCCAGCAAGATGCAAACTCTAGTTTCAATCCCCAGCACCTGGGCAGATGAGGAAACGCCATGCAAGACATACCAGTGGAGCACAGTGGCTGAGCGTGTCATCCTAGCACTTCCAAAGTTGAGACAGACATAGTTCAAAGTTATTCTCAACCACAAGGTGAGTTCCAGGACAGCTTGGACTACAAGAGACCTAATCTCAAATGAACAAAACACTATGAAGCTCCACAAAAGACAAATGTCTCAAAGCAAAGAATTTGTGTGACTCAATTGTCACATTTTTCTGTGGAACACCTTGTTTACGTGAAAGAAAAAACTGACCTAAGTCCTTCAGACTTTTCTAACTGGCAGACATTTCTGGAAAATGAAACAAACCAAAGCCTGTCACTGTAAAACAGCTTACAGTACTTGTTGCCAATGAAAAAATTTGAACTTCTAAGAGAAAATCAGAATTTTGGCAAAACAGTATCTGTCACTCAAAGAGTGACTGAGTTTCTAGAAATAGTAATGCTGATACAAATATGACTTTTTATTTTACTTTCTAAAAAACTAACTTTCGCCGGGCAGTGGTGGCACAGCCTTTAATCCCAGCACTTGGGAGGCAGAGGCAGGTGGATTTCTGAGTTCAAGGCCAGCCTGGTCTACAGAGTGAGTTCCAGGACAGCCAGGACTATACAGAGAAACCCTGTCTCGAAAAACGAAAAAAAAACCTTTAACTTTCATTTGTCCAATTCTGAGTTTGTGGGAGTGTCACAATGTCACTGTGGAGGCCAGAGGATAAACTCTCATGATCCTTCTCTCCATCATGGGGGCTCCAAAGACTGAACTTGGGCCATGAGGCTTAGCAGCCAGGGCCTTTAGCTGATGGCCAGCTTGAGGTGTCTTCAGGCAAGGAAGTGTCTTCAGGCAATTAAGTACAGGTTGACCTCAAATTTATAGCCCTCTTGCCACAACCTCCCAATGCTGGGATTAATGCACCTAGTGGTACCATTGTGCACACTTTAAAATAGGATTTTTTAAAAAAATATTGTATAATAAAGCAATGATGGCATTTAGAAGAGCTGTATAACTCAATCAGTGCCTACCACATGATGTCATGGAGTCAGAAATACATACGAGCCTTCAGGTATGGTGGTGTACACCTGTGGTAATCCCACACTTATGAGACTGATGCAGGAAAACCTTAAAATTCTAGAAAAATCTGGGCTACCCAGTGAAACCTCAACTCTAAACAAGCAACTAACAAAGCTCTACCAGCCAAGCCAATCCTTTTATATGATACCACAGTACAATAGCTACAAACTCCTTGAGTGTTTTAGGCCCTCTTCTAACCATCTAAGGCTAAATTATTTTCTTTTTAATATTTCTCTTGTTTTATGTATATAAGTATTTTGTCTGCATGTATGTCTGTGCACAACAGGCTGCAATGCCCAAAGAGGCCAGAAAATCTATGAAGAGCAGTGAACTTGGTTTTCTGAACAGTCAGCATTCTTAACCACTCCAGCCCCTCAATCTTAACCCAAAAATGAACATATCAAAGAGTGAATGCAGAAATAAGCATGAAAATTCAGTTATCTTCACTTAATATACAGTAAAAACCACACCCAATTCTATTCTTCTCAAAAATATTTTCATTTAAAAACATATTTATATGAACCATAACATGGTTTTCCAAATGGAGTAACATTTCAGTTCCTATAATATGGTAAACTTGAGATAATACTTTTTACATTTAAAGAAAAAGTCAGTACTGTATAATATTGGAACAAGCCTGTAATCTCAGCACTGAAGAGGCAGAAACAGGTGTAACAGAGTAAAGGCAAGGCCTCTATTTTGTAGAGGGTTTTTTTTTTTTCTTGTATTTCTCAACCTCAATAAATGTCTTCCTTTAACTGGTTTTCTTTTTCTTTTTTTTTTTTTTTTAAACTTTATTTATTTTATTTATTTATTATAAGTACACTGTAGCTGTCTTCAGACACCCCACAAGAGGGCATCAGATCTCATTGCAGATGGTTGTGAGCCACCATGTGGTTGCTGGGATTTGAACTCATGACCTCTGGAAGAGCAGTCAGTGCTCTTAACCACTGAGCCATCTCACCAGCCCCTAACTGGTTTTCTTTTTGTGGCGCTTGAGACTTCTCTGCTGCTACCTGTTGTGCTTCAGATTTTTACTGCCTTTTAATTCTTTAGCTGGCAGAGAAAATGAACTGCATCATTTCTAAACTCTTTTTTTTTTTTTTTTTTGATTTTTTTGGTTTTTTTGAGACAGGGTTTCTCTGTGTAGCCCTGGCTGTCCTGGAACTCACTCTGTAGACCAGGCGGCCTTGAACTCAGAAATCCGCCTGCCTCTGCCTCCCAAGTGCTAGGATTAAAGGAGTGTGCCACCACTGCCCTCCCATTTCTAAACTCTTATGTCTATTACTTGACTCTAGTCTGAAACCTTTCCTGACCAACCTACCCATCACCCTTTCTTTACTCTTAAACACAAACCTGATGTTATTTTCCTGCTTTTTTATCTTTACATAGAATATACTAATCTCTTCCCCTAAGAATTTTTAAAATTGTGTTTTCCAAGCTGGACTAAGAAATGGCCAGGACTACATAGAGAGAATCTGTCTCAAAAACCAACCAAACAAAGATATCATAGCTGGAAGGTGGTAACACACAGCTTTAATCCCAGCATTTAGGAGGCAGAGGCAGAAGCAGGTGGATCTCTGACTGAGTTTGAGGTCTACAGAGGGAGTTCTAGGTCAGCCAGGGCTACACAGAGAAAACCTGTCTAGAAAAACAAAATAAAACAAAAAGGAAGGAAGGATGGATAAACGATCAAACTTACAAAAATACTTTTGCTCAACTTTACTTAAATTTTAAAATCCCGCCGGGCGGTGGTGGCGCACGCCTTTAATCCCAGCACTTGGGAGGCAGAGGCAGGCGGATTTCTGAGTGCAAGAGTTCGAGGCTAGCCTGGTCTACAGAGTGAGTTCCAGGACAGCCAGGACTACATAGAGAAACCCTGTCTCGAAAAAACAAAAACAAAAAAACAAAAAAAAAAAGTTTTAAAATCCCATGGTCCCACAAAAACCTTCCAGGCCTGGAACTATAGTTTGGTGGTAGTGATTGATTGTCTAGCATATATAACACAAATTCAATCCCTAGTACCTTAAAAAGATACAAAGGGCAGGCAGAGGTAGGTGGAGTTCAAGATCTACATAGTGAGTTCCACAACAGCAGGGCTACACAGAGAAACCCTGTTTCAAAAACAACGAAAGTCACTTGGAAGCTACAAGTCAGGAAATAGATTCATTTAAACTTAAAGTGAAGTCTTGGGCCCTAATAAATCCAGCTCGCAGAATGGCTCCCAACAAACACAACTAAGCTCTGCCCTCGTTTGAGGCCATGTTGTATCTTTTCTAAAGCTACTTTGTAACTTGAGTATCTTCCCACTTCTTCACTCCCAGAGAACATTTGATAACTTTCACGGCCAGGCTTAGAGTCCAATCAGTAAGTAGCTAGTAACATTCCCGACAACAAAGGAATAGTTTTTATGCAAATAATCTCAGTATTGCAACAACTCAAAGCATAGGATCAGATGGTACCTTCTTCTCAAAGGTTCCTCCAGATTACTGCTGATTGGCCAAATCAACAGCCGCTGAAATTGAGAGTTGGAATATCCAAAATGACTCCATAAAAGGAAGGGTTTCAAATGCTGATTAAAACATTTCCAAGACGTATTTTTCCAAACAAATCTCTATTAAGCGCTTCACTTCTATCACAGCATATACAACAGTATGGCAAGTGCTTTCTTGATTAAAAATCTCTCGTTCTGTAAATTCTCGAAAACACGTTTGTCTTGCTCACCAATGTACCTTCCCTAGGAACCTTACATAGTAGCTTCGCTCGTTACCTATTTGTCGATATTTATAAAAGCTGTAAGTGATTAAATGAAAAAATGGCTGAATAAATGAGTTAAATTAGGATCTCAGCTTCTAATATACTCTGGAATGTAGGAAAGTGTGTATGGATAACTCCAAGAGTGGGGTCTGGGAAAAGCAGGCCTTGAAAAGAGCCTGGATTTCAACCCAAGCCAGAATTTAAACCGCAGCGCGGCGGGAAAGAGAACACGCTGAAACCAGGACCGAGTAGGCTGTGGGGCTCGGGCCGCCCGAGGAGCAGCCAACGAAGTTCTCCCCGCGTGGAGGCTACCGAGGAGGACTCGGGAGAGGGCCCGGGAGGAGGCCGCGGCCTCAGTCTCACCGGAGAAAGGCGAGTTGGCTAACCGGAAGCAGGGCTGGGGGCCCGTGCCAAGGGCTGGGACCGAGGCACGCGGGAACCGCCGGCCGGGGTTGGACGCCAGCTCTGCGGCCACACTCACCTAGGATACCCTGCTTCACCTCGGCTGGACGCCGGCTCCGCGCCGCTTCCTCGCTGTGCCTGCTAGGCGAGCGGGCGACCTCAGGTGTCCCTAGCAACCAAGCTCCGCCACGCGACCCACGCTCTGCCGCTTTCTGCCCGGCACAGAGCGCGCCCCCAGCGGACGGACCTAAGGCCAGAAAGGGATGGGCGGGGGAGGGCCCGAGGCAAGCGCGCCGAATCCGAGCCCTTGTGCTGCCTAAAGAATGGGGGGGAGGGGGAGGGACTTAAGGGGGGGGGGAGAAGTGCAAGGAATTTGCGCACGCGCAAACTTGTCGACACGGTGGAACTCTGCGAGCGGAATTCTGGGAACTGTAGTCCTTCAAGTAAAGGCTCCGTTCTGGGAATCCACGATTCATTCTACCTAACCACTACGGACTCTGACCATGCCGCGCCCAGACTCTATTAAAGAATTCCCACTAAAATTCCATGAGTTTGAGACAGGTAGGAGGAGATGGCTCAAGGCACTTTAACTCTCTCCCACTCACCTTACCCTAAATCCAACCACGGAGCGGAACGAGACAAAGAGAGACATAACTACAACAACCACCTTTATGGGCTTCGAGTGAGAACTTTACGAAAGTGTGAGTCCTTTCATTCTCTGTCCACGCAAAATAGATCCGCCTGTTTCAGATGACACTGACTCTATTGAATTTAGAGAACTATAAAGATAGCTGGATGGCAAAACGATAAAACTAACTCGATGAGGCATGGGCACCGGTTACACACTCCTTTAATCCCACCAATCGTTAGGCTGAGGCAGGTGGATCCCTGAGTATAACAGCAGCCTGGTCTACAGAGTAAGTTCAGGCCAGCTAGGGCTACACAGAGAAAAACTAGTCTGAGGAAAACAATTTGAACCATAGCAAAATACTTAGGGAACAGTCAGTGACGGATGTTGAACTATGAAAGAATTACCTTTCAATTTTAGATCAGGAAATCTAAGGCAATTGTCTAATTTATCTCCTGACGAGATTTGGATTACACAGAAGTATTTATGAAGTATGACTTATTAACAAAAACAAATTTTAACAGAATTTAAAAGCTGGCTCTAACTTCAGTATACAGGATATAAAGGAAAACATTTGACTAATGCTATAGAATCAGATAAATTATGAATTTGAGCCAATATATAGTATAAATGAACTTTCTTAGACAAAATGGGAGAGCCGGAGCTGAAGAAAAAACTATATGGTTAAGAGCACACTGCTCTTCCAAAGTACCTGAGTTCCATTCCAAGAACCCATGTGTGGTGTAGCACACAACTGCTATATCCCCAGGGATCTAACACTCTCCTCTGATGGCTGAGGGCACCTGCAGTCTCTTGGACATAACCACCTGCCACACACACAAATACACACACACACACTTTTTTTTTAAAAGAGAGAAATGTTTTAGGTGGTAAGATGTAGGAGGTCACTAGACGGCTCAGCAGGTAAAGGTGCTTACCACCAATCCTGAAGACCTAAGTTCCATCCTCAGGACTCACCTGGTAGAAAGAGAAGAAACTTCACAAAGTTGTCATCTGACCTCCATGGCTGACATATTTGTAGTAACTTCTTATGAAAGCCACAGGAAATTAAACCAAGAATTTTGATGTTTTCAGGAAATATTATTTTCTGGGAACCACAGAAGGTCTGAAGGTGTAAGTGACATAATACTAGAGGTTTGCTGTTTTAAAATATTGCAGGAATGGTAGGGAGTGACTCAGTACATAGAGTCTGTTGAACAAGTATGAAAAACTAAGTTCCGGCTGGGTTTGGTGGCACATTCCTTTAATCCCAGCACTTGGGAGGCAGATCTCTGGAGTTGATCTCTGGGAGTTTCAGGCAACCCTGGTCTACACAGTGAGTTTCAGGACAGTCAAGGGTTACAGAGAGACTCTGTCTCAACTCTCCTCCCAGGGGGCGGGGTGGGGGGACACAAACACTAAGTTCATATCTCCAGCACCCACATAAAAAGCTGGACACAATTTTACAGGCCTCTTGCAAGATATTTGATCACACTGTGAACCCTAAGATTGTGTTATTTACTGGAAATACCTGTTTTTAGTTGAGGTGTGGCTCAGCCCTTGCACATGCCTTTAATTCCTCTGGCAGGAATACCTACATGCCCATAGTTCACACATTTAATCCCAAATAATAAAGGTACAGTTAGTTTGTAGGAGGAAGTACCCATGTCTGTGATGTCTAATTGAGAGGCAGATAAAATGATGAATCAGGAAAAATTTGACTGAATAGGGTATGCCCAACTCTCGAAAGGAGAATAAAAGGAAGCTACTTAAGGGAGCAGTGCAGAAAAAAGAAAAGAGAGGAGAGAGGCAGTTTTACTGGACAATGATAGACAGGTTTTAAAAAGAACAAACTAGACACAGGTGGAGATTAGAATGAGGCAGAAAATGAGGAGTTTGAAGATTAAAGCAGATAGAGTTAGTTTGAGGCCAAACAGAGCAAAAAGTCAGAGGCTGAGAAGAGCCAGACTGAATCAGTCAGCTTGGAGAGGAGTTTTGAGCCAGAACAGCTGAGTTGACCAGCCAGCCAGAGATCAGAAAGAACTAGAAAGAGTGAGCTTATTCAGCAGTAAGTCTCAGAGGCTGAAACATTCTAGGCCTAGATTAGGTTGTACAGAGGCTAGAAGCTTTCAGGACTAGGCCTAGGTTAGCAGACTGAGGCAATAACCCTTGAAGACTACAATTTTTACAGGAGAGTAAAAGATACTTTTCACAGGCCTGTAATCCCAGTGCTTGGAAGGCAGAGAGAGAGAGAGAGAGAGAGAGAGAGAGAGAGAGAGAGAGAGAGACAGGAGGATCCCTTCAATTTGCTGCCAGTCCATCCAGCTTATTGGTAGACTCTAGGTTCAGTAACAGACCCTATCTCAAAAATGAAGATTCAAAGTGATTGAGGAAACTACTCCACACTCTGTGCAAAATAAACATGAACATGCATAAAAATGAAAATAACCAAATAAAGTACTATAGGAAAGTCAAGGGATCTATAGCTCAGTAGTAGAAAGTTTGCCTACAGAGTATGCATAAGGTCATGGATTCAGTCTCCATCACAAAAACAAACAAGCAGCTGGTCATTGTGGCATACACTTCTAATCCCAGCACTACAGAGGCCAGCCTGGTCTAAATAGAGAATTCCAGGTCATCTAGAACTACATTGTGAGTCTCTGCTTCAATACATACATACATACATACATACATACATACATACATACATACCATAAATACATACAGCAAGAAACCCCACTACCTAGAGAAAACACACCTTAGTAATAAGGAACACAATTATCATCTAGGTTATAGTTTCTAATACACTTTCCATGAAGGGGAACCAAGCCTCTTTGGAGAAGAGAATGACTCTAGGCTCCAGCAGAAAATATATGAGCTTGAAATCTCTTGTCATCAGAGAAAGAAGCCTTGCATACGGCCACACGCACATATGGTTTCCACAATCGTAGGAAGAAGTATGTCCCTGGAGTTCATTGAAAGAGCTCCCAACAGACAAAGCTGAAACAAATTAAGGAGTGTACCCTTCCCCTGGCCTTGAGCAGGCCTGAGAGACCTTGTTTACCACAACAGACCAAGTGATAGGATCTAGGTGGAGTTACCCACCTTGCCTGCACAGAACTTAAAAGAAGAACTGCCTCTGGGCTTGCCTTGAAATATCTCCGGCCATGACCCTTGACCAAGAACGGATTATCCCACCCATCTATCCCAGCTGAAACTAGGAAGGGTTCGGACGGGGTCTTTCCCTTTAAGTTGAGAAGCTGAACGTTAAAACATTGAGCCTTGATCAGAGAACTTTGTCTTGGCTTCATCTCTTTTCACCCTCCGTCCTCCTTTGGTTCCCAGCCCCCTTTCAGGTGAACCTGGTTGATTCGTGGCCGCAGGCGGTTACAAAGGAGCAAAATAAAGCGATACTACTTCCTAACCCAAGTAGCTTTATTTGGTACCATAACAGAAAGGACAAATCTATAGAGAAGAAATCTATATATGTAGACACTCTATCCTGAGGAAGAGAGGGGCAAAAAAGTTGTTTTATAGTGGAAAAACCTGACAAACAGAGTAAGATGTGAGATTGTCTATAATACCAGCACAAGGCTGGGAGGCTAAGGTGGAAAGATTGTCTGAGGCCAGCTTGGGATACATGGTGAGTTCCATGCAGACTATGTCTTTTTTTTTTTTAAGATTTATTTCATGTATGACAGTGTACACTGTCGCTGTTCTCAGACACACCAGAAGAGGGCATCAGATCCCATTACAGATGGTTGTGAGCCACCATGTGGTTGCTGGGAGTTGAACTCAGGACCTCTGGAAGAGCAGTCAGTGCTCTTAACCACTGAGCCATCTCTCCAGCCCAGACTATGTCTTAAAATAAAATCACACCACATACTTCAACTGGTTGATCAAGGTCAGCATCAAGACATGAATCATGTTAATAGAATGTACTTTGAGCTGGTGTGGTGACACACATCTTTAATTCCATCGTTTAGGAGGCAGAGACAGGCAGCTCTCTGGGAGTTCAAGGCCTGGTCTACAGAGTGAATTCTAGGATAGCCAGGGTTGTACATAGAAGCCCTGTCTTGAACCACACCCCCACCTTCAAAATAAAGAAAAAAAAAGAAGCAAAGAAAGAAAACAAGCAAAAGAAAATGTACTTTGGATATTGGTGTGATAAAAACATTATACTATAAATTGAGCATTCTGTGTTTGCTGTCATATGTGGCACTGGCTTCTGGTTTGTATGTTAGACTTCGGCGCGCAGCTTGGAACAGGCAACACCAGACCAAACGGGAGGGGGTTTATTCAGGAGATAGGGAAGAGGAGAGAGAGAGCAGAGAGGTAGAGGAGTAGAGGCCAGCCATGACCACATGGAGAGAGGGGGAAAGGAAGGGAGGAAGGGCGAGGAGAAGCTAGAGGCAAGAGAGTAAGAGTAAGAAAGAGAGGAGGAGGCAAGCAGCCCCTTTTATAGTGGGCACGCCTACCTGGCTGTTGCCAGGTAACTGTGGGAAGGAGCATACCTGGGTGTTATCAGATAACTGTGGAGGTGGAGTTTAGACAGAATA